CCAGCTCCGAGGCTGTGACACGGAGCAAGGCAGGTCACAGCTCGCGCTCCGGTTCCGCCCAGCGCAGGGAAAAAGCCAAGGAGCACCCGGGAGGGACGGCATTTCCAGCTGGCCAATCCTTCGACATCGGTTAGGAACCAACTTTGTGTCATGTAACCAAGAACCCAAATGCGAGGATTTTACTCAGAATATAAAGCAGGTCACTTAGCTCAAGATTATTTTTTTAATCTAGTTTGCCTCAAAATAATGTAGCTGGAGCAATTTAATGACAATTTATCAATTAAACTGTGCAAGGGTGAAGAGATGACTCTTTTTTTCCTTAAATAAAGTCTTTCATTTACTTCCCTCTGCCTTCTACAAATAATGATACCACACGCTGGTTTGTCATTGTGCTAATAATGACTATATCAGTATTTGCTAATTGTGAAGCCTCTCCCTAACTGGGTACTGCACAGGAAACCACATCAATACCTGGTATGGCACATCATGGTTTTCACCCAGGGACTCCTCAAAACCCGGTAATCCAAGGAAAGGGGACACAGCATTTTCCCTAGGAGTGGCCCAAACCACAGCATAAAGGCAAGAACATCCCGTGCTTTCCTGCTGCTTCACTGTGTGTTTATGGAAATAAAATCCATGGGGATTGTGGACTGGAGCTTCCACATCTGCAGATGGAAAAGCCTTTCCTATAAAGCTGCTGGGTCTCCCATGCTGGCTCAAGCAAAACTGATTTTAGGAAGAATTTTCCTCCATTTCAACCATTTAGGAATGTGAAAATGAATACAACGTAGAACGATGTTGTAACCGTCATCAACATCACAGAAACGATACAAAAATCACTATTCTCCCAATAGTGACCATACTGTATTTCACTAATTCAGCCACTGATAATCTGCAGCAGTTCTGCAAGACTGATGATTTACCAAGCAAGACTTTGGTACTATAGTGAAGTGAATCCTATTTAATAGTAATAATTGGTTCTAGTAACGAGCCAGATGGTTTGAAGTCTCCTCATTCATAACATTGCAACCCAAGTGAATCCAACAGCATTGCTTTAGGTTTACACCAGTATCAGATCACTAAGAAATAAGCACTAAATGCAGGAAGGAGTGCTTGCTCCTCCTGTACAGGATACAGGACCAGTATTTCATCACTTATCCTTTCCCTATCACACCAACCAGTAAATTTGGATATTTCAACATCCCAAATTACCACCAGCTGGAAACAAAACTTGCTGTTTCCTGGTGGAAACTTCTAATGCTTCTTGCATTGCAACTTCTGAGCTTCTTTTAAAACCTCCACCCAGTGAAATTACTGTCTTAAAGAACATTGCTAGTGTCAGCTCGGCCCTAGCTACTGAGATAGAGTCGAATGATTTGCAAAGGAACTGCTGGACTGCAATTCAGTTCCTTTACCAGGATGGAGAAGTGACTAGGCCTGCCACCCACCTGTGCCAAAATCCCTTTAAACCAGGGTTAAAGACATGGCAAACTATTAGCACTCAGATTCTGAAAGGTATTAACCCATGTTTTTGAGCTCTGAGATACTGATTTCTCCAATTCTGTACCAATGCCCTGTGAACCACCTCTTCTGTGCACCACGGATCTGACTGGCCGCCTCCAACACGAACTGGAATACACGTCCCTAGGTAAAAACCGAGATACAAAAATAACAGACACCAGACGAGTGTGCAAATTCCTACAAAGGTGCAGAATGCCTTTTGCCCACGCCCACGTTAATGGCATCACCGTTTCGTAATTAAGAACTGACCCATTTAACAGGAGGGGTGCAGCTGGCTTGGCTCGGAGCTGCTAAGCCAGCAGAGGTTTAGATAACAGCACATTTCTAAGGAACAGTTCTTTTCCCTTCATTCCTAACAGTGCTGCAGAGGAGGCTCTGCAGTAACAGCAGCTTTATTACCTTCTGCCACTCGGAGCGAGGTCCCATCAAGCAGGCAGGCAAACACCAGTGGCAGAAAGCTCAGGATCAGGCGAGTCAATAAATGACTGTGTTCAAACACTTCTGATGTCTTCAGCAAGTCTCCAAGTTCCTTCTGAACCAGCTCATCAGCTTTGCATGGGAATCTGCCCCGCTCTCACTAACACGGAGAATGACCCACGTGGGTATCTAAGGACACAGTTACCCCTCGTGCAAGCTGAGGGCCAAAACCATGCATTTAGTCCAAGTCTTCATTACTGTTGTGTACTTTGACACGTGCAACCCTTCATGTCCACAAGGAGGTGAGTTCCTGATCCTTGAAGACTCTTTCTTGGGAAGCTTACCTCTCCCTTTGCTGTACCTGGCCAGCCCACGTGTTCCATGGAATCACTGAAGGAAGAGTCTGGCTCCTGGGAGCGGGTACCAGGATGGCTGCAAGGAGACTGGCTTGGTAGCCAACTAGTTACTGCAACATACGTAGCATAATCCGTTATACTGACTGCCTGGGTCATATACATGGTCAAATAATAGACACAAATAATGGACTTAAAAATCCTCAGCCAGTGTGGGTCTACTACTAAAATTTTTTACATAAAAGATCTGGGAGGTTTGACATGAATTAAAACAGTTTACTTCAAAAAAAAATGGTGCTCACAAAGAGCATAGATTCACCAAAAAGAGCAAATTACAGTAAATAGCAGCATTTAAATATGTTCTGAAATTATATATTCTTGCCATGTATCAATATGTTTCCACGTTTGGAGAAATTAAAAGCAAATTATTACTACTGTGTCCTCATTCTGAGCTGCTGGCAGAGAAACCAACAAAGTACAACAGTAATCCTGGTCTGGTTCTTGCTAGTATGAATGGGGCAGGCATGAAAAGACATGCACATCAGGTCTCTGTCACGTAGAACACTTGGGCCTGAGTTCTTGAAACAGTATGTCAAAAGACTAATCTTTACATGGAGACAATTAGAAAAAAATTACATCTTCTTTGCTGGTATCATCTTGCACATTCAACAGTGTTGGCTGGGAGGCCACCAGGGTCTGGACAGGAGCATTACTGGGCTTGAATAAGTTTGCTGAGGCAGACGAAAGTGCTTCTGGCTGAGCATCAGCTGGGCCGTACAATTCTGGGGAAGGAGAGAGAGAAGAAAGACTCACAACCGTGCCCAGGAGGCCTGTGCATCCCCACGGACGGGAAGGGACACAAACCTGGCTGGAACGCAGGGCTCTGGCTGCTGGCGAGGACGGGGCTTGCTGATCGCCGGCCCCTCAGGAGACCCTCCTCTCGTCCAGCAAGCTTGGGGGGAATCAGCTGCTTCTGGTCAATAGATGCTGAAGAAAATATTTTATGAATTACTATTTCATCCTGGCAGTACACAGACTTCATTGTTTCATCCTGGGTCCATTTTACTGACACCCTTGCATATCCAAGGAAGCTGCTGTCCCAACAGGAGCCCCGATTCCTTATACATCCTTACATTTTTTCCCCTCCTGTTTCTTATAAGTACTTTCCCTCTCTTCTTTCATTAGGATCTCTATTTCAGCTACTAGCAGCCCCCAAAACCACAGATGTAAAAGAGAGTATCAGAGAGAACAGTCAGGAAATGTGTCCTTGCCCCTGGTAGCCAAGTGGCAATGGCTACTTGCCACTTTCAATGCTGAGAGCTGTGAGGAGCTTTCGTCCCTGCTCTGCATCTGTCCCACAGCTGCTCTGCAGAGCAGAACGCGGGCGCTGCGGCCCGGCAGCTGCTTCACTTCAACAATAAAAGCAATTCACCAAAACAACTGTTCTCAACCCAGAGAGCTCCTCTGCTCCCAGCACACATTCCTTCCACCCCACACAAACCAAATTCAATACGCAAGATTTGGCCTCTGGTACAAAGTCCTTGTTCCATTTTATTCTAGGATCTACACGGGGGCCTAACGAGTGTGTATCCTTAATGCTCATGAGAGAACACACATCCATGTACCAAGTCTTATACCTTTCACAGAAATTCCAGGAAAATACCATTAAGTACATTTCCACTACAGAGAGCATTAGGTAAGAGTTATTAAAAAAGGGACCTGTAGAGATGTATTAGAGCTTTATTTTCCCATTTACCAGCATTTGGTATTCAGGGTAAGAAGACAGCAGCATTTATTTACGTACAGAAACACAAGCCAAGTTCATAACTGCATTAAAGTTCAGGCACAGAGACACATCTCTGCACCGTGCAGAAGCCCTCTCCTAGGAGAGGGCCCCAGGTCACTAGAGCAGTGACAACCCAGGCAACACATGAACTTGACAGGTCTGAATTCTATATAAAGCTAAAAAGATATTTCTGTAGCTAGGCTATTCTCCTAAGCTGAAAGAAAGGCTTTTTTTAAGCAGTAGAGGGAAAAAAAAGGTGGTTTTTGCTAGGTCTGTCATTGGCAGAGATCACCACTTCAGTACCCAGCAGTTAGCAGCACAAATTACTCTATGACAGGGTGGCTGTATTTTCACTTGTTTCTATTTCTGACAAAATCATCCCCTTTGAGTTCTGCAACACACAGAGCATCTGTATTCTGGCCTGGAAGACTGTATTTAATGACTGACTGATGCTAAGAAAAGCATCATGTTCGATGTCATTACAACTCTGGAGAGCCAGGGAGAAAAGGCTAAGCCTGCCTCAATGTTCCACACACGCAGAACAAGCAAAGCACTTGTTATTTCCATCATCACTACTATGGTGGCCTATCAGGCAAGGAGATTTTACATGCAGACCTACAAGTTCTCACCACAACTCTGTTCTGTTTGGTTAATTACTCCTACACGGGCAGACAGAGGCTTAAACTAATGTGTTCTGTCTTCCTGTGATGCCCAAAAACGCATTTAAATGCACTTACCTGAACTGTCTGTCCTGTGAGATGCTTTGTTCTTCCCACCTTTCTCCTTGCTTCCCTTTGTGAAGGCCGCAAGCTTGGTAGGGATCTGCTGCTGCACGGCAGCTGGTTTCTGGATCTGGTTGGTGGCGCTCAGGAGATGGATCGGCACCTCGTTCTTCAGCGCCAGAACCGGCCGGGTCTCCATGGTGGTGCTGTCCCTGCGAGCCAGCTCTGGCCGCTCCAGGTAATCCATCCCGGACACGCTGACTCTCCCAGAGGTTTTCAAGACCGGCAGAGATGGTTCTAGCCCTTCTCCATTGAAGCTAAGGGAATGGCCCAGCATCTGATTTTAAATGAGAGGGGGAAAAAAGGGTTTTCTAAGTGAAACTGGCATTTTCATACTCCAAGATATACTGAGGAGAAACCACTCTCAGTGCTGCACTCTTTTGTGATAAATGAAAAAGAATAAGATTGCCAAGCTCTGATGTCCCTCACTGCAGTCCCTGTCAGTTATTTTAGATGATGGCACACGAGCCCCTGGAAAAGGCAAACAAGGATGGCCTCTTTCCAGGTTACGTCGCTGAGACGACGTTAGCACTCCCAACAAAGGCAGCCTTCGTTCAGAAGCAAGCAGCTATCAGAGCCCAAACCCCAAGACCAGCAGCCACTTACCTGTCCCAGCTCCGGGGAGCACGTGCCTGACACCGTGTTCTGTTTCTTCAGCTTCCTCAGCTGATCCAGGCGCTCCCGCTCTTTCTCGACTGCTCTCTGCGCTTCCCGCAGCCTCTCCAGGTCGTGCTGATAGGCCTCTCGCTGCCTCTCCAGCTCTTCCTTTTCCTGACTCAGTCTCTCTTTCAGCTGCCGAATCTCCTCCTCGCGCTCCTGCAGCCGGGCGTCCGTGCTTTCCAATTCCCGCTGCTGCCGGCTCCTCTCCCGCTCCCAGCGCTGCTGCTCCAGCTTGAGCTGGCTCTGCAGCTTCTGCACGTTCATCAGCTCTTCCCGCTGCTTTTCGAAGTTCCGCTGCTTCTCCTGCTCCAGCAGCAGGTTGCCCCGCGTGGACTGCAGCCGGTACTGCTTCTCCCGGTCCACCATGGTGGCTCGCTGCACCTCGATGTAGCTGTCCTGCTGGGATATCACTGCCTGGGGGGAAGAGGAGTTCACCTTGAGGCCCAGGGGCTAAAAAAACAACGCACAGCAAAGCAAAAGCAGCAGCATCTACCAGAGCTGCTCACCGACACCTCTGTCTTTAAATGCAGGTCTAACTTGCACATAATATCCTGAACGAGGAATATCCAGTGAGGCAAAATGGTATTCTTACATACGGCAAAATTAACACCTTTTGCATGTAAAACTAAGACTCTGAATCTAAACACAATCACTTTAAATATTACTTATTGTAAAGGTATAGTAAATATATATGTACAAGTATCTATCAATAACAACTTTACTAAGAGATGCATTGCAGGAGCAGGGAGATTAGGGAGAGCTTGAAGCTCCAACAAGCAAGAAAAGGGATTCAGTTGTTTCTGACGATTCTACCAAAAACTGGGCACAGTGTTTCCTTGAGACTCCCGTCTTAGACCCTGCAGTCCACTCTAGCATGTTTAGGTGTCCAAGGTAATTCCCTGCACCGCTCCCTAAAATTCATTAAACCTGACACCTCACAACATTTCTTAGATAGTACTTAGTGGTTTTACCTGTAGACTGAAGAGCAACTGCAACAGCGTTTGTATTCTTTGGACCAGCTGAGGAGGGGAGGCAAGAAGACATTAAGCTTTGGGGAAGAGATCTCTGCTTTGATGCAGAATTAACACTTTTATATAAACATAACTGAAGACACACAGTGGAAGTATGGCGACAAGAGCATTCTAACGTGGTAATAGCTAATAGAGCAATATGCAGGCAAAAACCCAATTTGAGAATATTAACCTTTGCACAAATATACCCTCCAAATCTCACTGGGAGAAATCTTCATCATCTGATGATTTTTTTGATTTTTTTTTTTACGTGGGCTATTTAATGACCTTTTCTGCCCACATGTAGCATTCATGAGAGGCTCGGGGCAAATTTTGTCAGGGAGCCGGGAACATGCAATCCTTCCAAAGACACAGAAGAGTAGCTACCCAGCTCTTTGAAACATTATCTTCCTACCTAACCAGAACCCATCTCTGTTTTCTAATGGGGCTTTTATCTCTGCATTCATAATGCATTAGGAGTGGTAAGGCACAGTTTGTTAGTGAGCCTGAGGTTCTGCAGACACTAAAATGCTGTTTTCTTTTGCATGCTATTATTACAGTTAATTCCCTTTACATTTCCTAACAGCAGAAGCAACGTACCTCAGACTCTATGGTGGGCTGCAAACCGCTGCTGTCACCCTGACTTGTTGCATCACCCTGGAAAAAGAAAAGAACAACGTGGGTCCCAGAGCACCCATGTTGGGCAGGGGCAGTGCTGCCAAAACACTTTGGAGCGCTCAGCTCATGAGGGAACAGTGGAACACAGATTGCTGCCCTAACCTGAACGAAACATCAAAAGTACTGAAGCCAGAGGCCAGGCTGAAACAAATGCGTGATCATTAAAGCTGGAACTAAAGATACAGCATCAAATTAACAAATATTAAACCAAATTATCATGCCTCCCAAGAGCTTAGCTAAAAAACGTCAATTCCCCCCCTTAAAATAGCCTTAATAGAGTTAAGTAATTGCACAGAATGCTGTTTCAGCCCAGCCCTAGCAGCAATGAAGACTTCTGGCTTTCGGAGGTTTGTCCTTCACTGCTGTTATGACAAGGGCCATCAGGAAATACATTCAAGTTATACATAAGTCCAACATACGGTTTGAGATCCTTCTTCTGCATCAAAAGGGAGGTCGTGGAGCTGCGTATCTGAATTTACTGCAGGGCCTTTCCAGTCCCACTGCCTCTGGTCACCACTGCTGTTCTTCCTAAAACCACCACCTGAAAGAAGAGTGGAGTGTGAGTGGCTCATGCCAGCACAGAGCCTGTGAAAACTCACTGCATAACAGGCACAAAAAAAGGTGATTTTGAAGGTAGAACCGGAGCCTGTGAAAACTCACTGCATAACAGAACAGGCACAAAAAAAAGTGATTTTGAAGGTAGAACCATATCGTAACTGCACAGCTTATCCACGCTGATTTCAAAGAGTAGAGAGATAGACAATAGGAAGAACAAGACTACTCAAAAGCATATTAAAAACTTAAAGAGTGTTAGTTAAGATAAACAGGGAGAATAAGATCAAGTAATATTACACTCATGCTTAATTTTCAAACAAAAGTAAAATGCTATATGGAATTATGGGAATTAAAAAGTAGGAATTCAGGTAATAATTGGCATTTGCTAAGGGTATTAGGAGCCCTGCTCTGCTCTCTAGTGTTGGGACTGGAAGCACAAAATACAACGTGCTGATTCCACACAGCATCTAAAAACCTGCATTGGCTCCTATAGTTCCCATTTCTTACTTTTACTTGAATTTGAGGGGCTGCTGTCATATCCTCCAAAGGTCTCTGCTCTCCTGGGGAGTCCCGAGCCAAAGCTTTCCTCGGGCTGACAGAATCCATTGCCCAAATGAGTTAAGATGAGGTTTTGGAGATTTTCAGCTAGGAAAAAGGAGAACAGGTCATTTTAAATAGACGTGTACACGGTGAGACAACTGCATCGGGCTAGCAAGTCACAAAGAGTACTTCAATTATCACATATATAAAAAGATCAGGAAGTTGGACAGCTTTTGTACAGTACAAATGAATTTTCCTACATGATTAACTTCTTATGACAGGCTCTACATATTGCACATATGAAGATAACCTTCTCCTTGAATATAAGATTAGGTTATTAGCATTTGAGTGTTTTTTTTTTTTTTGTCAGACTCAAAGATGTCTTTCTAAATATGCCTTCCCTAGACAGGCTATCTGTTCTAGAAGTCTCTGACACAAATAAATAAATAATCCCAACTGTAGCTAAGATTCTCTATCCAAATGTGCAGGGTGCACTTACCTGTCTTGAAGATTGCTTCGGAGACCAAGGAATCTGAACAGCATCAGGTGTCACTACTGCAAGATTTTCAGGACTAACAAGCTGCACTTTGATCTTGTGTGCTGATCCACACTTGCATCTGTTTATACACACACACCTTCCTGCACTGCATTTACCTTCTGTCACTGCAGACTTCAAGATGGCCTCTCCTTGCAGATTCTCTGAGATATCCCCCCGAAGTAGCAGTCTGGATCGGACACCTTGGGACTGGTCTTCAAATCTGTTCATTTCAGACATTTCCAGATAAATCTGTTGCTTCTCGGTCAGAGTTTGCACGATCAGCTCGTCTTTCATGTTCAAACGCTCTGAGGAAAGAAACAAACTCAAGTTCTGCCCTCCGAATTAACTTATTTAACTATTTCTACACAGTCTGGCAATATCTATGTTGAATAGATAATATATAGATAGATTATATAGATAATAGATAAATACATTGAAAGACTTATAAAGGAGAAGCTTGCTCACATCATAGGACAAAAGAACAAGATGGTCATAAATCACAAGTGATGCCGAGAAGCTGTTCATGGAATATATAACCAAGCCATTACCTTGAAAATCTTTTAGCTTAGCAGCTCTTGCTTCAGCCAGTTTCTTTTCTGCTTCAGGTTCATTAAATGTTCCTTCTTCTTCATCAGGACAGCTGTAAAAAGGGGGAAACAGAAAGATGCACATCTTACACATTAGATAAACTACAGCCATCTCAGGATTCAACCCAGGTCTTTGCTTAGGATGTGCTTTATCTTCTGCTAATCTTCCTCCCTTATCCGAAGCCCTGATTCATTTGGCATCAGTGAACTCACTTTTTTTTTTTTTTTTAAAAAAGAAACACGACAGTCTTAGGATGTTTTTTCTTGCATTGTTTATGCATGAATTCTTCACAATAGGCATACACAGAAGTACACACTTCACTCACAAAAAAAAAAGGTGTTTTGGGATAGTTAAATGTATTTTTAGCTAAGGTTATTCCTATGAGGCCTGCTGAAGAGGAGACAGACGAGCAAGAAATCAAGCCCTCCGGCTTTCATTCATAATTTACCTTTCTACAGCTCTGCGAATGTGAGCCATCCAGGAATTCCTCTCTTCTTTTGAGCTTGTATGAATTTCATACATTTCTGGTCCTTTTAAGGAAGCACTAATTAAGAACATTGCTTTTTCCTCATTAGCTACCTCTCTTACAATCAACTTTTGCAATGAGATAACTGGTGGTTTAGAGTCCTGTGAAACAAAATATAGTTTATTGCGCTATATTACATACATTCTTTAGGGTTAGTGCTTCTCAGCCCCCGCCCATTTCCTATTTATATAGGACCATAATGAGCTGTAACACTATTACTTCACTACTACGGCCTTTCCACGTCACACTTTCGACACTTGTCCTTTTTTACTCATCACCCACAGATCAAAACACTGAATACAGAATGTACATTGCAAAAATAACAGGTCTTGGCACCTGGTTCAGTATTAAAGCATGCACTGATACAAGCACCTGAACATTTCCACTGGTCCCAGAAATCGAGCAAAAGCAGAACAAGCAAAAGCAAATCAGGTTAAAGGCAAGAAGCAGCGTTTTCAGTTAGCCAGTAGGATTTGTGAAAGTATCCCCACTCTGTGCATTAGAACATGGTCAGTTTGAAAAGCCATTGCTTTGATACCCCTGAAATCATCCAAATAGCTCCAGCCATTACAACTCGGCTCTTACGTTAATGTCTTAAAAAAAAAATGTATCCAAAAAAGCAATTACATAAAATAAATAGTTTCTCTGTTCCTGGTCCCATCACAGTTGTAAGTGAACTAGATCAGTACAAAATGTGCACAATTAACTGCTCTGAGGATACCTGTGGAAATGCCTGAGAAAAACAGGCAAATCTACTGAGTGCCCCAGAGTGCTGCAGTAATTACCTTTGCATTTAATGCTAGTTGCTTCAAGAAAATTCTCAACCTCCACTAAAGTCATGGCTTACCATTTCCCTAGCTGAAGTGGAAGATTTTTTTCCCTTCGTATTAATGTACGGAAGGAAACCTTATTTGCAAGTGCCTTTCACACTAGACTTCCAGCACGTTTAACATACAGGACTTGTACAAACAGCAGCATAACAGAACTTGGTGAAAGGAAAACACAGGGTAAAGATAAGAAGAAAGTAGTGAACCCCGGGACATGCTCGAGGCATCAGAAACCCACAGGAGATGCCACAGCCAGAGCAGAGTGACGCAGAGGAACGTTGTTTTGGACCAAGAGACTGCAGGAGCACCAGGATTGCTTCAGAAGCAACTCTACACTAGCTGATTTGTTTTAACTTCATTTTCCTTCTGAACCTGCCATGACAAACATCTAACATTTCTATCTGTATTTCTTCTGCAGTTACTGCCACTTTCATAAATACAGTGAGCAAGTGTATTAACTAAGGAAAGCAATACCTACCACTGATGCAAATACATATTTTTGGTCCTTTTCTTGTAATAGCAAAAGCACATCAGTTAACAGGACTGCCAGAATATCTATGGTGGAAACAGAAGGACAAAAAATAAGTTATTTTAAATCAAAAGGATTGTTGCACAGTCAAAATCACTTGACTTAAATTTCCTGTGGGATATGGACATATCAACATTGGCAACATTGGGTCTCCTACTACCTTGTACTTGGGATCCCCACAAATAGCCTGTATAAGTGCAGAACCAGCAGACCACAAAGGGCTCATTTAAAGTTTTTAAAGGCCTCCTTAGGATTGCTACACGTGGGCTCAAACGCTCATGAGGATACACTGTCTCCCTCACCTGCAGATTCTTCTGGAACTGCAGATGTTGGCAGCACCAGGGACTCTCAGCTGCATTATATAAGTCACTGAAGCTTCCCTTTGAACATTTGAGCAATGAAGCTCGTAACATATTCACTGATGGATGTTGCTTTGATTTTCTGGCAAAACAGGTATTATGGAGAATGGAGGTGTCATGGGGTTGACATGACACGATTTTTCAAAGTGTGAACCAGAGCTCGCACAAGATAATGTCTTTCCACAGGAGACTAAGTCTGGATGACTCAAAGCTTTGTCATCTATCTAAAGACCTCCCACTTGAATTGGAAAGCAGATCAGAGAGATAATAAGCCAACAGCACAAGGAACTTATCATGCACCATCACAGAGATGCGTATTGGACAAGCCAAGAATAGAACAAGTGCTATTTCCTTCAACATCCTATTAAAGAAGGTTACTGCCATCCTATTTTATACTCAATCAATTGCTAATAAACAGTTACTAAACAAAGAGAAATCTTGTTTCCCAGTTGCACTTTTTCCCTTCCTAGTCCTTTACCTTTGAGCCGCCCTGACGCAGCTTTCCAGTAGAGCATCCCATCCAGCAGAAGCCGCCTCTGCCCCATATCGTCCTTGCGGAAGAAGAGCCCGTTCTTAAACTTCCCGGATGATTTGAGCTCCATTTTATGCATAATCTCTTTAAGGCGTTGCCCCTTCTCACACTCATTTACCATGGCATCCACATGAGTGATTGTGTCCTTAATTAAACTGAGAGCCTGTGTCAGCTCTTCATAATCTTTAGTTCCAGCTACAAAGAGGGGAGAGTAGCAATTAACCAGATTTTGAACTCTGGAACGCAAAATGAGCCATCCAAACATACTTTAACACAAAAAGTTTCATACTCAATATTTAACAATAATTTCTAAGAGTATTAGGATAGATAATGCTAGAAAAGATTCCTAAAGTACTAAATCCCCAAGAAATTGCCTTAATGCAGTTAAATAAGCCTTAAATAAAAGGCTTAATTACTATGATTTCACAGTGGCAGGCTTGAAACTGAACATTCCGGCTCTGGACCCTCTGATGAGTTGTTACTGATTTGGATCTGTGTCTACAACCACATCTTCTGGCAACAAAGAAGTGAGGAAGCAGGTCTAGAGCAGCACCAGGCTGCCCCCCTTGTCCGAGAGGAGGACGAGGAAGACGAGGGATCAGCAGACAACGTCAGGCAGATGGGAAGGATTAAACAAATTACCTTCGGTATTCTGAATAATCCGTTCCACCAGCACGGGGTACTTGGTGATGCGCTGTGTAACCAGGAGGATACACTCCTGAACACCAAGTCTCCTCACAATGGAGCAGTTCCCTATTTTCTAGAAAACAAAAGGCAGCTCATTCACAGGCTCTGTATCTACTGCTCCTCAGATTCCCTCCCTTCTCCATTCCCACATTTCCTTCTCAAAACATTTTTGTACAATAATAATAATACATATTTATTCTACCACTATTTACGCTGATCTACACAATACATTTCTATTTAGAAAAAAAAAAAAAAAAAAAGACTGTAACACCAGAATCTCAATAGCTGGCCTGATTCCAGGTGGCAGGACACAATACCAAGCTCTTCCCTGTCAAAAACGGAGTCTATATATTTTAAAAGTCAATCCGTTCACTTATTTGGTTCATGGAAAAGAGAACTTCTTTACTTTTGAAGACAGCTAGTTAAGACTGTAACTACAGAGCCATGTTGGAAAGTGCACACAGTATCACTTACTAAAGACTGGAAAATGAGAATACTTTGAACTGTGCAATGTCATCTAAGGCTCAGGTTACAGGCTTCCCGTTTGGCTGCCTTTCCCCAGCCCTTCCTATTAATTGCACATTACAGTGTAGAGCAGATAAACAGAACACACTAGAGCCAATCTCCTGGTTTTGGAAAGACTTAGCGTGCAGAACTAGAGCAATAATACCTACCTTTCCTATAGCGCTCTATCAGCAGCATGAATCACTGCTTTATCAAACCAATTTATAGTAACCATCCCTTACTAAGAAGTCAGCGACAGAGCCACGAATAAAACAAATAACCTAGTCCCAGCCAGGTCCACTCACAAAAGAAAACATCTGTTTGCCTCAAGTTTAACACCTGTTTATTGTGGGTTTGTGTCCAAAGAGCCCGGGAGATCAAAAATACAGAAAGCTAACAGTCTATCAAATAACAAGGTCGTGCTTCTTTAATTCCAGTTGCTGGAATTTAATTGATTGTCAAGTACAAAGCAGTCAAATATATGTTGCTCAGTCAGAATGGAAGGTTTCTAACTGGTGTTTACCTTTATTAAGTTTTGGAACTTCTTATTGCTTTGGAAAAGGTCTTTATAGTGACCAACAGCTTCATTGTGACCACAGCAGAACACACCGTATTTTTCTTTCATTCTCTCCCCATTTTCACCTGAGAACTAAATGGAAATAAAAGGATAGAAAACATGCATTAACAATATACCTGCATGCTACAAGACCTGGATTTAACCAGGTTTTACGATAACTGACTTGAGGCAACGTTTCTTTCATTGATATTTCAACTTCTTTATCAGAGGTGAGAGTGATGCAATGTGACATGCAGTGACACCGGCAATATGTTACTTGACTTTTGGAACAGATGAAAAATAAAATTGAATCATACAGCAGCACACCACAATAGAGACTGCAGGGACCCAAATCATTTAGTGAACATTCCACATTATCTGTACCAGATGCATTCCTGGGAGCCAGGATCACACACTACACTAGAAAGACAATCTTAAACCCGGGGTTAAATGAAGAATCTATTATATTCAAGCTTTACAGGACAAAAACCTAAATGTATGCTTAGAGCTCGGAATTTAATAGGGCTGGCTCATGTTACTAGAACTTAATTCACACCTGTTTTACCAAGATGTCCCCTATGTTCTGGATAATATAATTCCGGTCACTGCCTTCTTCCAAGATCCCCGTGCAGCTCCAGCAACTCATCCACACATGGGAAGAGTTTGTTGATGACTGCGTTTGGGAACTGCAGCTCCTCTCTCATGGCTTTGGAGTACACCTTCAGCATAATTTTCAGTGTTCTGACATGGTGCATTTCAGTCTGCATTAGTTCTAGGCAAAAAGAAATATAATACAAATTATCAGAAGTCGTTTACAGCGATTAGTACAGTGATTAGCAGACTCTGAAAGGCAGTATCTTTTGCTAGTAACCACCAAACCCATCACCAGAAAAACAACAGCTAGGCTGACTACCCTGGATCTATAAAACACATCTACTATTTACCTCTTACCAGTATAAACTGCTAGCAGGACAGCTGTATTGATAGATATTCAATGCCATAAAACCTTCCCCACTTCTATGGGCAGACATAATTTCAGAAACTAGAAATGTGTAAGTACTGCCAAACATGCTATTTTTTTCAGTAAAAACAACAAATACCTTCTTTTTAAAAGAAAAAAAGACACTCATGAGAAATGTGGTCTAATGTAGACCAACTGTCCAGATGAAGTGTCTACTGTAATCTACACCTATTATTTAGGACAAAAATATACAAAACTACTTCTAATTCCTTAAAAAGAGGAGAGAATAAACTGTTTTCAGTATCAGAGATGCAGGAGTAGAGACACAAGAGGCAGAAGTCTTATCCTGAAGCCAGAGAGATTCATATCAAACATCAGGAATAACTAGTCCCTTATCATCACAAGGATAAATACTGCAGCAAATTGCAAAGAGCACCTTTGAAATCTCCATTTTCAAAGGTTAAGAACAGGTTAAAGAAAAGCCTGACATCTAGGTGCAGCTGGTTTTGTAGCAGGCCAACCATAAGGACTAAACGGCATCTTAATTTTCCTTCTAGTTTATCTTTTGTATAGTTCTGGAGCTCAACAGCAGTAAAGCACTCCAGGGCTGTCCATACGGCTTTGCTAACATATGTATCAGTATTGAAAAAAGAATACAAATCTCACTGATATAAAGTTCTTAAATTTGGCCCTTTAATCTCGCATCTAAGCAGTGACTGAGATTGACCCTGCTTATTTAATGGCATCTCCCAGCTGAGTGAGGGCTACGTCCTACCTGTACAGGCTTTGTTGCTCACATGGGCATACTGAAAACTATAGGCTGCTCAACATTATTAGTAGGAGAACCTATGCACACCGAGACAGGGAAACACACTCAAAAATCTTCACTTGGTTTTCATTTCCAAACACAAGTAAAAATCAGGAGCCAGTTAAAGCAGTGATTTCTACTTCACTTCAAAGTGACGGCATTACGAAATAAAAGAAATATCCAATAAATATACATATATATTCTTACCATAAATGACATCCTGCCTTTTTATAACTTCTTTCTTTTGCCTTTTTGCATAAGGCTGTTCCACTGCAATACTCCAGGACTCTGCCTCGAACTCAAGAGCATCGGTTTCTATTTCACTTCGGAGATACACAGAATATGCATCTGCATCAAAAACACATTTTATTTCACTTATCAGCAAATTGTGCCAAGCCATAGCCCTCATTGCCATCATTAACAACAACAACAAGAAAACATCTGTCTTAAGACTGTTTTAGAAACTGTATAGAATCCTGTAAAGCACAGAAATTCCATACCTTCCAGAAAAATGGAGTCTGATGTTGAAGGTGCAAGCGAGACAACATCATCTGATGTCTGCTTGAATCTTATAAATCCAGAATCCCCTTCATCCATGTCTCCTGAAATTAGTCTGAATGGTCAAAGAAATTAGACAACAAGGGAGAACAGAACATTTATATATATAAAAATATATATAATATATATATATAAAATGGCTTATCTAAAAAAACCCCACAACCCTCTAACTCCTATAACAAGCATCTTTCCTTAATTATGGTGCAATTACGTTCAAATAAATCTTTGCACTCCAACTTTAAACAGTCAAATCGATCGAGTAACTTAATAATGATCATTGAAATGTCACAGTTTTAATTAGAAGAGTTAGAACATGCAACTTCTGGTATGGCATTTTCACAGACAACATTGGTGACCATGCCCAGTCCAAAGTACAAAGGGCATTTTCACTGAGAATTGAGCATAATTGTGGCACATTAAACGCACATAAAATACAAGCAGTATGTTTCGAATTGTCTAATATTTTAATTAAGGTGTACTGCAATTCAAAATACTGCTGCCTCCTACACTAGTCAGAACTAGTAATACTTAGAATAAATGATCTCAGAAAATATTGCTGAATTTCAGCAAGCCTGAGGACTAATATACCCATGAAAAAGAAAATACAGAGTTACTGAAATATTTCCCTGTTTATATAATGTTTTGTGGTATAGTGCAGGGGGACTAACGAGAAGGTGGTAGTTTCCAGAAACAAATAGCTTACTGTTTAAGGGATATTTTAAATCAAATTCAGCATTAGAAGCTGACTGAATCTGTTTTGAGCTTGAAAATAAATGCGAGCTCTTGTTTTAGCACTGTAATTAGTTTTGCAAAGGAGGGGTTGCAGTGGAAGCGGGTGGATGAGAAGAGAAGCAGTTTACTTACCCAAATTTACTAACAGCTCCCGCAGTATTCAGTGAAGACTGAGAATTTCCCCTCTGGGCGATAGTCATCCCGAGATTCCGCGACAGTACCGGGGTGCCATCCGGGCCCAGGAGAAGCCCTCGGGGCTGCTCCTTCAGCGAAGCGGCTAGAGAGGCAAAGATGGAATTGGTGCTCAGAAAATGAGGCTGCAGCTCGCCTGCTCGCAAGCCTCTCTCTGAATGCGGACGCAGAACAGACAGAATCTTGGATGTCAGGAGCTCATTGTCCAAAAAGACATTCTCATTCCATTTTCTTGAAAACGAACCACAAAAAGACAGCTCAGGATGAGCTGGAATTGCATTGCTTCTGCCGCTGCTTTTTGAATTTGTATTCCCCATGCTCACTACTGGCTGCCCTAAGACTTGGCACAGTAAAGTGGCCCCAGAGATGCACTGTTTTTATACTACCTGTGATCCTTCTAGAAATGTAAAGCTGCCACTTAACCTACTGTATCGGCTAAATCAGCAGGTCTGAAGTGCAGGAAATTGGTCCCTACTGTGCCCATTTAGTGTGGAAATTGCAAAGTATCTTCTCCTTTAGTAAAACACCAGAACCTACACACAATTATTCACACCCTGCCGTATAAGGGGACAGAACATTTCATGGCAAACAAGAAAAATCTGAGATCACATAAAAACCACAAGTTCTCTGCAAAGCTTATTGCTGCATAGTGATTTATATCTGCATGCACACACGCTGAATGGAAAAGATCCCAGAGCTAAATTTAATTTTAATACTGCAGCTTTTTAATGCTTTTCAAATCTAGACAGACTGCGAACAGGAAAGATATTTAAAACTTCAATCTCTATTACACAATATGTGGAAGCTTGTAATAGACTTATAAAAAATGGATATAATTTTTTAGCACTAATGTCTATAATGAATGATAAGGAGCAGGAGACAAAATACACCCTTTTTAAAAAGGGAGCTTCAGAGACGTCAAAGATGAGGACTCGGCCAATCTTCCAAACTCAGTGTCACGGGTGAGGTCTGCAGCTGCCCTTTCTTCAAAGTGCTTTTAAGGACATGCAAGTGGAAGAGACCTCATGGATCCTTGAGCCCCGGTCTCTACGACTGCAGCCAGGCCAAGCCAAGGCATTCAAGGTTCTTCTCATGAGACAGGTTTTCCCAGATTTCCTAACATCCTGTGCTCCATATCTGCTTGTCTTTCAGTTCTCTTCCTTAAAACCCTGGACTAGAGGTGCGTGCAGGGCTGCACACGAGATCTCACCAGTGACTTCCAGCACAAACGGTGCCAGCAGAGCTTTTACCCACTCCTGCTCCCTCCCAGGAGCACGTTCCAAATTTCCTGACTGCACCATCTAGCTGATTCTCACGCTGGATAAAGTGACAACCGTCTCCTTTGGCAGCATGTTGTTTCACAGTGCTAGAGGTTGATTCATAACCCTGCTCGCTCAAACCTAAAAATCTCCAGAGGCAAAATCTGAAAGGGGCCCAGCTTGCACCTCTCAAAACGTGTTTCCCTTTCACGTTGATACCTTTGGCTCCTTCTGCGAGGCACTCGTGTCTGCAGCGTTAATGCTACGGGTAAACACACACCATGGCCATGCTATTAGCTGCTCCTTTAACCTCCTGCTCCTGCTTTTCACTGTGGCAAACAAGCAGCGCCAAGCGGAGCCTGCGCCACCAAAAAGCCCTCTTCTGAGCTCAATTAGCAGTGTGTGCACACTGCTGAGAGGGCCCATCGATCGCGGCCAGGCTGTCACAGCAGAGCAGGCTCTGTGTCACCGCGCGGCCCCAGCGCCAAGCCCCATGGACAGCTTGTCCTATGATTCCTTACTGTTCCCTATTTCAGTCCCTGCACTTATCCCTAAGTGGACAAGGGCGTTCTTGGCAATGCAAACGACCACTTGTTGTGACAATTCTTCCCTCTGTGCAATCCTCAGGAAGGATTGTTTCCTGAAGAACTTGAAGCTTGAAATACAGTCAGAGGATGCCGAAGAAAGATGGATGCGACACTCGGAGCAACACCCAGACATCCTCGCCAGTTGTGTTTCCTACAGCCAGCAAAGCAACCAGAGAGACCAACTGTAAGGCAGAAATAATTCTGTGCTAGCCGCCAACAAACATCTTAGGACCCAAGAAATGTTTCTGTTAAAGACTTTGTAACTTCTACCAACTAAAATGCCATTTAAACCAGCGGCTCTGATGTCTCCTTTATCTGTCAGTATTGCATAATTGAGTAACCTTAGTCCTAAATAACAAAAAGCAGAATGGACAGTGTCTCTCTATCACGTTATGTAATTACTAAAGCAAATTGTTTTTATATGTAATAAAAGTTTTTTAAATTGAACTGACAATGTAATTGGTCTCAAATTCAACATATCATGGAAAAAAAAAACATTTTTCAATGTACCACTGAAATCTACCGCCTGTCCCTTTTACAAGTATTATTTCCACAATTCTGGAATATGAGTAAAAAGAAAGGTCACAATCATACAGTTTGGGAAAAATTCTCTTAAATGGTGAACATGCCAAAGAATTCAGGAAAACCAGGTAAAAGAAAAAAGGAACACACAGCTATTTGGTATTTTCCAGTAGCAAAAAGCTATTTCAACGCCCATGCTGCAGACGAGCTGTTCTTTCTTCTTAATTTTTTCCCAGATCAGCCCTTTTCCCACTTTCTTTCAACCCAGATTTATGTTCTGACCATTTATGCTAGCTTGTCTTAGAGATTTCTAGCAACCAGTAGCTGCAGGCAAGTTTTAAATAGACAATTATGAAAATCTGATGTAAAACTGAGTTCACAGTTCTAGTCTTTTCAGAGGCCAGAGAATAGACAATCAATGAGAAACTAGCTTATTGATCCCTTTCCACCATGATATTTTGAGGTTACACAGCAAGAAGGTATAAAGGAAAATAAAAAGATAAAAAGATAAAAACACACAGGAGATTGCCAGGAGCCTCTAAAGCCATTCCCAATGGGAAAAGAAACGAAACAATCTTATTAAAAGAGATCTTTTCTATACTTCAATAACACACTGTGTATGGCCTTTAAAACATATTAAAGAAAAAAGATACAATTGAACAGATAAGCCTTGAGCACAGAAATCATTCTTTAGTACAAACCTGGGGAAATGCACTGGGACGAACTTTGGGGAGATCCAGAAGGTCTGTGCTGGAAATCTTTCTGTTATAGGGAAAAATACAATATTCTTACACATACAGACCAAACTTTCAGTCCAAAATGAATCATATTCTCCCCATCATATAACACTAACTGTAAGCAGAGCTTTATATTGAAAATATAGAAGATTTGACACAAGCACTTTTGTTTTTTTCACTGTGGAACAATGGTATATTGACATTTACATTACATATAAATACTCCACATCTTATCCAGGCTGAAGCTGAACCAAAAAGGAAAAGTTACAGCTGGATCAGCAGTGGTTTGCAGCGGGGATGAAAGTTTGGAGACGGTCAAGACTGGAAACTAACTCTCTACTGCATTTAGTACACAATAAGAACAGAATGTTTATGTTTGGAATTAAAACACACATGGACTTTAAAAGTTCAAAGGTATATATGTATGTGTATATACCTATGTACACAGATACCTATACACAGAGGTAGGTAGTTAGATTTATAATAAAAATAAAGAGGCTGAAAGCATTTCCTCTAACCTTTAATTACCCTCAAAAAGCTCCTCTGCTCTTTCTCCCTCTCACTGCACTCCCTAATGTGCTGTCAGGCCCTGAAATCACCAACAGACACAGGTTAATACAAACTGAAAAGTCTACATGGCTTTAAGGAGGCAGAAATGACACTCGAGCACAAGAGCAGAATGGAAGTGCCAGGTACACAGCTCTCCAAAGCAACCTGTGACCTTGCCTTAGGCATCCCGGTGACAGAGATAAAAAGGGAACACCTTGGCAAGATCTGAAGTTTATCACAGTTCAGAAATGAAAGCACTTATCCTGCTCTGCTGTTCCTCTCTGCTGCTCTATCAGCTTTGAGACGGCACCGTATTTATAAACACAGCAGCACAAAACGTAGATGTATCGAATCAAAAATACCCATTTTTAAAGATAGAAATAACTCAGTTATGTTTGTGGTCATGGTACATACAAAGGGCAAGTCAAATCTGACAAACAAACAATGCAAAGCAGCTTTCAGCAAAGCAGTAAAACGTTTCGCTTTATTTTCCCTGCACAGATTCTCATAAATTACTATAAGGACAAATCAATGATCATTCAGTGTCTTGGAGGTGCAGGGCAAGGCTCCAGACTGATGGAAATTAAGACACTTGCACTAAACTCAATTTATGACTTCAAGCACCATCATTTTTGAAACATTATTTTAGAACCTACCCTGGGTCTGATGCTGCTGCATTCAGCCAGTAAATTCTTGCAGTTCTTATGGACATTCACTGCACAATCTGAAATGCAAAACAAGC